TGAGTTGAGAGGCAATTTGAACAGCATTACTAATAATAATAATGATGATGATGATGATAATAATAATAATAATACTTTATTTATACCCCACCCCCATCTCCCCAAGGCGACTTGGCGTAGCTGACATGAGGCCATGCCCATCAATACAATATACACAATATAACAGAAAAACACAACAGAAAATCAAAAATTAAAAGAACCTAAAATACAAAAGCAATGTATATAAGTGACACAACCAATACATAGTCAAAACATTACGACATTTCAATTACAACATTCAAAATGATAATAATAATACCTCTTAAGTCTCCCTGGCCTAAATTAACCCCAATCTGGGGTCACCATGAATTGACAAGTAACCTAAATAGTATAAATAATAATAATAATAATAATAATAATAATAGGTAATAATATGTTGTAATAAGGAGCCCCTGGTGGCACAGTGGGTTAAAGCACTGAGCTGCTGAGCTTGTTGATCGAAAGGTCGCAGGTTCGATTCCGGGGAGCGGTGTGAGCTTCCGCTGTCAGCCCTAGCTTCTGCCAACCTAGCAGTTCGAAAACATGCAAATGTGAGTAGATCAATAGGTACCGCTCCGGTGAGAAGGTAACGGCGCTCCATGCAGTCATGCCGGCCACATGACCTTGGAAGTGTCTACGGACAACGCTGGCTCTTCGGCTTAGATATGGAGATGAGCACCACACCCCAGAGTCAGACATGACTGGACTTAATGTCAGGGGACTACCTTTACCTTTACTATGTTGTAATAATAATACTTCAAAATCTCCCTCATCTATGGAAATCCAATCTGGGGTTACGATGAGTTGAGAGATGACTCGAATAGCATAATAAATACTAATGATGATAATACATAATAATATGTAATAATAATAATACTTCTAGGTCTCCCTGGTGAAAGGGAATTGTAATTTGGGGTCACCATGAGTTGAGAGGCAATTTGAATAGCATAATTAATAATAATAATAATACCTCTAAGTCTACCTGGCCTAAGTTAACCCCAATTTGGGGTCACCATGAATTGACAGGTGACCTAAATAGTATAAATAATAATCGTTAATAATATGTTGTAGTAATAATACTTCGAAGTCTCTGACCTGGAGTCACAATGAGTTGAGAGGTGACTTGAATAGTATAATTTTTTATTATTATTATTATTATTATTATTAATATAATATAATGTATCATTAATAATAATACCTCTAAATATTCCTGGCCTAAATTAACCCCAAACTGGAGTTACGATGAGAGGTGACTTGAATAGCATAATTACTTATTATTATTATTATTATTATTACTATTATAGTAATAATATAATATAAATTATTATGAATAATACCTCTAAGTATTCCTGGCCTAAGTTAACCCCAAACTGGGGTCACGATGAGTTGAGAGGTGAGTTGAATAACAGAATTACTGATTATTATTATTATTATTATTACTATTATGATAATAATATAATATAAATTATTAATAATAATGCCTCTAAGTATTCCTGGCTTAAGTTAACCCCAAATTGGGGTCACGATGAGTTGAGAGGAGACTTGAATAGCATAATAAATACGAATGATGATAATAATATGTAATAATAATAATAATAATACCTCTCGGTCTCCCTGGCCAAAGGAAACCCTAATTTGAGGTCACCATGAGTCGACAGGTGACTTGAATAGTATTACTACTACTACCACTATTACTACTACTACTACTACTACTAATAATAATAATAATAATAGAAGGGACACAGACAAAAAACCTGGCCTTGGTCTCTTCTCCACAAATGCAGAGCAATGAGAAAAACGGTCTTTTAGGGCTCCCCGAATCCCCTGTGCACGTACCGTCGTGTTCATCAAACTTGTCGATGAGCGTACACATGCGGTAGTCCCAGAGCTGGATGATGCCATTATGGAGGCTGGTGAGGATCCAGGGCCTCTTCGGGTGGAAGCTCAGCCCTGGAATTAGACAAGGACATCCCCAGGTAAGAGTCCTGATCTTAAGTTTTCTAGAAATTACCTCACAGACAGACCGGAAGGCCTTTATTTCTCAAAGCACACAGTACAGTTGCAAGCAAAGTTCCATCTGACAGTTGGTTTCCCTCTCACCTCATATCCCTCACTTTGGCCCTCCACAACCCCGTTTCCATGTCCCAGGTAAGCATCCTGATCTGCAGTTTTCTAGAAATTACTTCACAGACAGACGGGAAGGCCTTTATTTCTCAAAGCATACAGTACGGTTGCAAGCAAAGTTCCAACTGACAGTTGGTTTCCCTCTCACCTCATATCCCTCACTTTGTCCCTCCACAACCCCGTTTCCATGGCCTACTTTCATGGTTCCCCACAATCATCAAAATATAAACAATGTAAATATATTATTATCACCGTTTTCCGGACTTCAAATGAATCCACATCACCGAGTCTGCAAGTAAAGCATTCCATTTTTATTTGTGGTAGTGTCTGTATTTTTTTCTTCTAGGTTGCAACTTCCTTTTCACAAGTAATTAACATTTTGGGTAGTGTCAGGATGCCTTCTTCTTCTTCCGGGTTGCAACCTCCATTTTTGTCGACATCCCGTGTTTATGCCCGGCTCTCCTCCCTCTTTGTTTTCCCGGCATCCAGGGATGACCTCTTCCATCCCAAGGGGGTCAAGGTCTTGTTGGCCCACAGGTCGCGGTCCGAGGCAGAGGAGGAAGGCCAGGGCGCCAGGTCTCGATCTGTGTAGGTCTTGGGGGGCCATCCCTCGGAGGGGGATATGATTGGCAGCCGGGGGGCTTCCGCTTTCAGCGGGCGCTTGAGGCTCTCCCCCGAAGCCCAGGTCTGCCTACGGCAGAGCAGCCACAGTCCCGGGAAGCGCTCCCCCATCTCCCACTCCTCCTCCTCGCTCAGCTTGTCCTCATTCGGGGCCTTCGGCGCGGAGATGACCACGTCAGGCACCACGAAGCCCCCCGTTGTCGTCGTCGTCGTCTCTCGCGGAACCCCTTCCGGTGCCGCCGCCTGCTTCTTCCGCTCCTTCCGCCGCTTCTCTTCCTCCCCCTCGGCCTTCCGCCGCTGGAAGTCCTTGATTCCCCGCTCGGCCCAATAGTCCAGCAGCAAGGAGTCCCGCCGTGCTCGCCGGGCGAAGGCCTCCCGCATCTGTTCTCCGCTGCGCTGGACTCGCTCGCGGATCCTCCGTGCCTGGATGGACTCCCGCAAGTGGCGGGCCTCCGCTTCCCGGTGAGAGCCCATTTCCCAGATGGGGCGCCTGGGCTTCTTCGCCGCCTCCAGAAGCAACAGCGGTAGGAGGGGGAGACCCACCGTTGACATGGCGCCCCACTCGCCCCGATCCCGCGCTCTGGGGTCTCTCTCCATCCCGAGGGTGGAAAGGGAGGGGCACGGAAGGAAAGGACGCAAAGAGGAGGAAAGCCAGCGCGTTCTCTGAAGATCTCTCAACCATTGTGAGGTAGTCGATGAGGCGCAAGGTACAAGCATTGTGAGGCCAGAGGTTCCTCAGAGAGCTCATCTCCAGCTTGTGATGCAATGAAGACTGGCAAATGCAAAAAGGGGACTGAGAAAAAGCAGCGCTACTCAGGGCCTTCTTTGCCTCGGTCTCCTCCCAAAAGATAAATAAATACATTTTTAAAAAATATAGTTTGGTGAATGATTTTCATACAGACAATGACAGAGAGGCCCCAGTGCAAAGGGCAGTTTCTCATGAGAATATCATAGAATCATAGAATCAAAGAGTTGGAAGAGACCTCATGGGCCATCCAGTCCAACCCCATTCTGCCAAGAAGCAGGAATATTGCATTCAAATCACCCCTGACAGATGGCCATCCAGCCTCTGTTTAAAAGCTTCCAAAGAAGGAGCCTCCACCACACTCCGGGGCAGAGAGTTCCACTGCTGAACGGCCCTCACAGTCAGGAAGTTCTTCCTAATGTTCAGATGGAATCTCCTCTCTTGTAGTTTGAAGCCATTGTTCCGCGTCCTAGTCTCCAGGGAAGCAGAAAACATGCTTGCTCCCTCCTCCCTGTGGCTTCCTCTCATATATTTATACATGGCTATCATATCTCCTCTCAGCCTTCTCTTCTTCAGGCTAAACATGCCCAGCTCCTTAAGCCGCTCCTCATAGGGCTTGTTCTCCAGACCCTTGATCATTTTAGTCACCCTCCTTTGGACACATTCCAGCTTGTCAATATCTCTCTTGAATTGTGGTGCCCAGAATTGGACACAATATTCCAGGTGTGGTCTAACCAAAGCAGAATAGAGGGGTAACATGACTTCCCTAGATCTAGACACTATGCTCCTATTGATGCAGGCCAAAATCCCATTGGCTTTTTTTGCCGCCACATCACATTGTTGGCTCATGTTTAACTTGTTGTCCACGAGGACTCCAAGATCTTTTTCACACGTACTGCTCTCGAGCCAGGCATTGTCCCCCATTCTGTATCTTTGCATTTCATTTTTTCTGCCAAAGTGGAGTATCTTGCATTTGTCACTGTTGAACTTCATTTTGTTAGTTTTGGCCATTCATCTCTCTAATCTGTCAAGATCGTTTTGAATCCTGCTCCTGTCCTCTGGAGTACTGGCTATCCCTCCCAATTTGGTGTCGTCTGCAAACTTGATGATCCTGCCTTCTAGCCCTTCATCTAAGTCATTAATAAAGATGTTGAACAGGAACCGGGCCCAGGACGGAACCCTGTGGCACTCCACTTGTCACTTCTTTCCAGGATGAAGAGGAAGCATTGGTGAGCACCCTCTGGGTTCGTCCATTTAACCAATTCCAGACCCACCTCACCGTAGTTTTGCCTGGGCCTAGCAATGATAATTCACTCCCTCTCTCTGTGAGCTCTCAAGATTTGGGTTTTGGAGTGGGGGGGGGGGAATGTGTCGGGGTTCTATGCAATCTAAGCAGCACCGGCAAGAGAGGGAGACCTGCTCTTCTCCAGCTTGCGATGCAGGGGAGATGGCCAAACATGAAAAGGGGACCGAGAAAAGGCAGCGCTACTCAGCACCTTCATTGCCTCGGTCTCCTCCCAAAAGGGAGTGGGGAGTGTGTGAGGAGTTCAATGCAGTCTAAGCAGCACTGGCAAGAACATAAAATATTTAAAGAAAAATATTTACTTAAAAACATTAATTAAATAAATGTTTAAATACTAGTAGAGTTTCAGGGGGTTAACCTGGCATGATGGGAGTTGTAGTTCACCCACAACCTTATGCATTTGGTACAATTAAAAAAAATACTAATACTAAATTATAATTTACTGGGCAACGTCCTTGCAGACGGCCAATTCTCACAACAGGAGCGGTTGCTCCTGACACGACAAAAAAAACAAACCAAAATATAATACAAATAATACTAAAGCATAATATAATTCTTAGTACTAACTAAACTATATTATTATAAATAATTATAAATAATTATAAATAACCCTAATATATAGCTATAAATAATCCTAAAATATAATAATAAATCATCCTAAAACATAACTGCTACTAAAATATAGCATGAATAATCCTAACACACAATAAAATGATAAATAATCCTAAAATATAATATAATTATAATTAATCCTAACCTTTAATAATAAATAATCCTAAAATATAATAATAAATCCTAAAATATAACGTAAGTGCTACTAAAATATAGTATAAATAATCCTAACATACAATAAAATAATAAATCCTAAAATGTAATATACTTATAATTAATCCTAAAATATAATAATAAATAATGTGAAAATATAATAAGTAATCCTAAAATGTAATATAATTATAATAAATCCTAAAATATAATAATAAATCATCCTTAAATATTTATTTATGTATTGACTTTGCTTCTATACGGCTGTATCTCAAGCCCGAAGGCGACTCACAGCGGTTCACAAACAGTAAAAACAGTAGAAACAGCAGTGGTTCCATACAACATAGAACAATTGACTTAACACATTATCCATAAATTACCAATAAGCAATTACAATGCACAATTATTACAAACAACAACTGTACCCAATCTTCTCATCATCCAAGCGTAGTCCAGGTTCGTCGTCCCTTGTTCCATTCCTATGTTCCATTACCAGATTGCACTAAATTACTCAAATGCCTGCACAAACATCCAGGTCTTCACCTTTTTGCGGAATACCATTAGAGATGGTGCTAGTCTAATGTCCGTAGGAAGGGCGTTCCACAGCCGAGGAGCCACCACCGAGAAGGCCCTATCTCTCGTCCCCGCCAGCCGAGCTTGAGAAGCAGGCGGGATCGAGAGCAGGGTCTCCCCGGAAGATCTCAAGTCCTGGTGGGTTCATAGGCAGAGATGCGGTCAGATAGGTAGCTTGGGCCGGAACCGTTTAGGGCTTTAAAGGCCAACGCCAGCACTTTGAATTCAGCCCGGTAGCAGATCGGTAGCCAGTGGAGTTGGCGCAACAGGGGGGTTGTATGCTCCCTGCGCTCCGCTCCTGTTAAAATCATGGCTGCCGAGCGTTGGACTAGTTGGAGCTTCTGAGCTGTCTTCAAAGGCAACCCCACGTAGAGAGCGTTGCAGTAGTCTAAACGGGATGTAACCAGAGCGTGGACTACCGTGGCCAAGTCAGACTTCCCAAGGTACGGGCGCAGCTGGCGCACAAGCTTTAGCTGTGCAAATGCTCCTGGTGGGTCCAAGATCACCCCCAAGCTGCGAAGCTGCGTCTTCAGGGGGAGTGCGGCCCCTTCCGTCCAACACAGGCTGTGACCCTATGCCCTGTTCGGCCTTTCGACTGACCAGGAGTGCCTCTGTCTTGTCTGGATTCAGTTTCAATCTGTTCGCCCCCATCCAGACCGTCACAGCGGCCAAGCACCGGTTCAAGGCCTGGACAGCCTCCAAATATGATATATTTGGCCATTTAAACATGAAAAGGAAAGGGAAATGAGGAAAGTCAATGTGTTGGTGCCATGAGAACGCACTGAAGGCCCAAAAGGCCTCACTCAGACAGGCCTCTCTCCTCCTAATCCTGGAGATAATGCGAATACATCCACTGAAATACCGAATCCGAACGCGCCTTTTACCTTTGACGCGGGCGGACTTGGTCTCGAACTTGGTGAGCATCTTCCCTTTCTCTCCGTCTCCTCCTCAGCCCGAGACGCTTCCACGTCACCCCAGATCCACTTCCGGCCTTACGAGGAAGAAGAAGGGGCGGGGCCTAAACAACTATAGAGGCGCGCCCTCTCTGGCTTCGTGGCCGGCGCGCCTAGAGCGCCCTCTTGGGGGGAAAAAGGAGGACTGGTGGCCATAGAGTCTCGACACCGGCTGCTATTTGTAGCTTGGGCTAGAGAGGCACGAAAGAGAGACAGGACCATGATGGCGGCGGGACCATAGATTCGGGACGTCCGGCTGCATTTACGAGCGCGGCTAGAGCGGCCCGAGAGAGACGAAGCGGGGAGCAAAAGATGGCGGCAGGACCATAGAGCCGCGCCCTTGAACTGCATTGCGAATGCGGCTAGAGAGGCCCGAAAGAGCCGAAGCGGGGAGCAAAAGATGGCCGCAGGACCATAGAGGTGCGCCTTCTGGCTACATTGAGATCGCGGCTAGAGCGGCCCGAAAGAGCCGAAGCGGGGAGCAATAGATGGCATCAAAACCATAGAGCCGCGCTCTCCGGCTGCATTGCGATCGCGCCTAGAGAGGCAAGATGGGAAAAGGGGAAAAGGAGAGGGCGGGGAAGGAAGATGGCGGCAAGACCATAGAGCCGCGCCCTTGAACTGCATTGCGAATGCGGCTAGAGGGGCCCGAAAGAGCCGAAGCGGGGAGCAAAAGATGGCGGCAGGACCATAGAGCCGCACCCTCTGACTTCATTGCGAGCTCGGCTAGAGAGGCCTGAAAGAGCCGAAGAGGGGAGCGAAATATAGCGGCAGGACCATAGAGCCGCGCCCTCTGGCTGCATTGCGATCTCGGCTAGAGCGGCCCAAAAGAACCGAAGCGGGGAGCAAAAGATGGCCGCAAAACCATAGAGCGGCGCCCTCCGGTTGCATTGCGATCGCGTCTAGAGAGGCCAGAAGGGGAAAAGTGAAAAAAGGAAAAGGCGGGGAAGCAAGATGGCGGCAAGACCATAGAGCCGCGCCCTTCAACTGCATTGCCAACGCGGCTAGAGAGGCCCGAAAGAGCCGAAGTGGGGAGCAAAAGATGGCCACAGGATCATAGAGCCGCGCCCTCCGGTTGCATTGGGATCGCGCCTAGAGAGGCCAGAAGGGGGAAAGGAGGGGAAAGGAGAGGGCGGGGAAGCAAGATGGCGGCAGGACCATAGAGCCGCGCCCTCCGGCTTGCATTGCGGGTGATGCTAGAGCGGCCCGAACGGAGGAGGCGAAGGGTGGAGGCCCAGCCATGATGGCCATAGAGTCTCGCTGCTACGCTAGAGCGGCCTAAAAGACCGGAAGCGGAAGCAGGAGAGGGCGGGGAAGGAAGATGGCGGCGGTGGAGGAGGAAGCAGGCCTTGCCGGGTTTCTCCTGAGGGGGATTCTCCTCTTCGCCGTGGCGGGCGGTGAGTTGGGGGCTAAAGCGGTGCCAAACCGCGTTAACTCTACCATTTAGACGCCCATCTGTCTCCTTCAGCTCTAACCTATATTGCTCTGAGCTATGTTGTTGTTGTGGTTGTTGTGATTGTACTAGCTTGGGTGGTTATTGGGAAAAGTCCATTGTTGAATGGTCCCAAATGCATAAGTTTGTGGGAGAACTACAACTCCCATCATGCCAGGTGAACCCCGAGAAACTCCACCCGGAATGATAGTTTGTGATGTTGGGCAAGTTTGCTCTGGATGCCTCAGGGGTGGGGTGGGGTGGAGTGGCCTCTCTGGCGGCAGGGTGAACTACAACTCCCACTATGGAGGAGCCAGTCCCCTCCAGGTGGTTGGGTTAGTCCTGGGGTTCTGCGTGCCTAACTGTTACATTAATAGTCACTGTGACATCATAATAATTAAACTATAAGTTTGGTTCAATTCCATCGTTGATGGAGTTCAGAATGCTCTTTGATTGGAGGTGAACTATAAATCCCAGCAACTCCAACTCCCAAATGACAAAATCATAATTTTTTGAGTGATGGTCACTCCTTGTGTTGTGAGACGTTTTGTTGCCAAATTTGGTGTGATTTCGTTCACTGGTTCTTTTGTTTTTAATTAACTCATTATGCACAGAGCATTTATATCAGTGGCTCTCAACCTTCGTAATGCCGCGACCCCTTAATACAGCGCCTCACGTTGTGGTGACCCCCAACCATAAAATTATTGTTATTGCTACTTCCTAATTATAATTGTGTTACTGTTATGAATCGTAATGTAAAAATCTGAAATGCAGGACGTATTTTCATTCACTGGACCAAATTTGGCACAAATACCCAACAACAGCACTCCATGCCGTCATGTCAGCCACATGAACTTGGAGGTGCCTATGAACAACACCAGCTCTTTGGCCTAGAAATTGAGCACCAACTCCCAGAGTTGGACACAAGTGGACTTAATGTCAGGGGAAAACGTTTACCTTACATTATCCCATATGCCCAAATTTGAATACTGGTGGGGTTGGAGGGAAAATTGATTATGTAATTTGGGAGTTGTAGTTGCTGGGATGTATAGTTCATCTACAATTAAAGAGCATTTTGAACTCCACTAATGATGGAATTGGACCAAACTTGGTACACAGAACTCCCACAACCAACGAAAAATACTGGTAGGACCTGGTGAGCACTGACCTTGAGTTTGGAAGATGTAGTTCACCTGCATCCAGAGAGCATTGCAGACTCACACAACGATGGATCTGGACCACACTTGGCACAGATACTCAATATGCCCCAATGTGAACACTGGTGGAGTTTGGGGAAAATAGACCTTGACATTTGGGATATGCAGTTGCTGGGATTTATAGTTCACCTGCAACGAAGAGCCCTCACCTGCTCCGCACCCCTGCCGGCCGGCGGGAGAGCGGAGCAGGCAAGGGCGCCTGGTGCAAGGCCTTGCTCCAAAGGCCCCCGCCTGCTCCGCACCCCTGCCGGCGGGAGAGCAGAGCAGGCGAGGGGCGCCCAAGGAGCCACTCGCCCATCCCTCACCTCCTTCTGCCATCAGAAGGAGATGAGGGACAGGCGGATGCCTTCGCGCGCAGGAATGCCAGTGGCGCAGGGGGTCGGCCGCCATTTTGGAGGGGGCGTGGCCAGCCAATGCGGCTTCGCGGCCCCCAGAAAATGGCCAAACGACTCCCCGAGGGGTCGCGACCCCCAGGTTGAGAACCGCTGATTTATATAGATAGATAGATAGATATTCTCCTTTTCTTTCAATAGGGTCCGTTTGGTGTAATTCTGTGGAAAGGAAGATCTACATCCCATTGAACCGGACGGCGACTTGTGTCCGCCTGTTAAACGCCACCCATCAAATCGGCTGCCAGTGTGAGTCTCTTGCCTTGGAAGGAATCCTTGCCTTATTTATTTACGGTTATTTAGAGTATACAGGCCATCCTTGAATTATAATTAATAATAATAATTTTAAAAACCTTATTTATAACTAGCTGTACCCACCACGCGTTGCTGTGGCCAACCTTCCCTCCCTCTTTCTCTCCTTTTTTCCTTCCTTCCCTCTTTCTTTCCTCCCTCCCTTCTCTTTTCTTCTTTCCTTCTCTCCTTCCTTCCTTCTCTGCCTCTTTCCTTCCTTCCCCCTTTTTCTTTTCCTTCCTTTTTCCCTCTCCTTTCTTCCTTCTCTACCTCTTTCCTCCCTTCCTTCGCTTTTTCCTTCCGTCCTTCCTTCTCTCTTTCCTTCCCTCCCTCCTTCTCTCCTTTTACCCTCCTTCCTTTGCTCCTGGACAGATGCTGATGTTGATAATGATCCATTGGGTTCTGACTTGAAAGACCATTGTCTTTGACTAATGTAAACAGAGGTAATTTCCCTAAGAGTTAATCCAGTTTCTGCTCAGCAAATGTTGACCGGTGTAAACAGATGTAAACATTTCTCTTTTTGTTGTCACCGTTCTCATCACAGTTTACAAGGGCAAGTCAACTATTTCAGTTCTCATTAGCAAGTTTTAATTACAGTCCATCAACAGATTGTAAAGCCGCCTTGAGTCACTTTCGGGTTGAGAAAAACGGGGTAGAAATATCGTCAATAAACAAATAAATAAACAGGTAGCGAATCATTTCGTCATTGCCGGCCTTGGCTTCAGAACAGAGCCTCCAAATTTATTTGTTTATTTACCTTATTGAAATCCCGTCTGTTTTTTTTTTTCCATTTTATCTGTCGGTAGGGCAAATCTTGGTGTGGATATATTAATGTGTATAGGTATATTATTGTGTATACCTGCAAAACTATACATATATATGGATACATAGATTTAGTATTTAGATAGGGAATAGCACATGTCTTAACTACTGTTGTTATCTAGTTTTATATTGTATTTCTTACATTTAGTCTTCGTTAATAAAAATGAATTGCAAAAAAAAAGCCATTTCAGTTCTCATTAGCAAGTTTTAATTACAGTCCGTCAACAGGTGGTAATGCCGCCTTGAGTCACCTTTGGGTTTGAGAAAAGCGGGGTAGAAGTAGTGTCAATAAATAAATAGGTAATTAATCATTCGTCATTGCTGGCCTTGGCTTCAGAACGGAGCCTCCAAATTTATTTGTTTGTTTATTTACCTTATTTAAATCCGCAAACAGATGTAAACATTTCTCTTATCACTGTCACAATAGCAAGTCTACCATTTCAGTTCTCATTAGCAAGTTTTAATTACAGTCTGTCAACAGGTTGTAAAGCCACCTTGCAAAGCAATACTGTAGTATTATTAACTAGATATTAACTAGTTTACTGTAGTATTATTATTTACAAGGGCAAGTCCACCATTTCAGTTCTCATTAGCAAGTTTTAATTACAGTCTGTCAGCAGGTTGTAAAGCCGCCTTGCAAAGCAGTACTGTAGTATTATTAACTAGCTATTAACTAGTTTACTGTAGTATTGTTATTTACAAGGGCAAGTCCGCAATTTCAGTTCTCATAAGCAAGTTTTAATTACAGTCCGACAACAGGTTGTAAAGCCGCCTTGAGTCACCTTCGGTTTTGAGAAAAGCCGGGTAGAAATATTGCCAATAAATAAATAGGTAAATCATTTCATAATTGCCAGCCTTGGCTTCAGAACGGAGCCTCCAAATTTATTTATTTATTTGTTTGTTTATTTGCCTTATTTAAATCCCGCGGAGGGGGAATGGCTTTCAAATATGAGCTCTCACCCATGTGTCCCTACCTGGCCCTTCCAACTCAGAAGGTGTTTGTGTTTTCTCTCTGTCAGCTTCCTTGAATGGCGACACGGGCGTCATCCATGTGGTGGAAGAGGAGGCGGACTTGAAGTGGGTCTTGGAGGAGGGTCCGCACGCCCCGTACGTGGTGCTCCTGGACGGGGAGCTCTTCACCGGGTGAGCAGGGCTTTCCCATTACAAAGGAACAGGGATATTATTGTTATTGTTTATTTATTTATATCCTGCTTTTCTGCCGTGGGTGGGATTCCAAGCGGCGTACAATGGGTAAATACAGAAATTACATAACATGCAAATTCAGACGATAACCTCCCTTCTGTTTTCTTTCTCTGGGCAGGGAACTGATGCAGAGGCTGAAAGGCAGCTCCAGGATCTCCGGCCTGGCCGTGGCCATCGCCAAGCCCAGCCCGTCCAGGGGCTTCTCTCCCGGGCTAAAGTGCCCCAACGACGGCTTCGGTGAGCAGAAACGCCTTTCTCTGGGCCTCCCTCTTCTTGCGTAGGCCTGTGTCGTGATTCTGTTGGTGTGCCTGCCAATAAAGGCTGTCTTATGATATGTGCTTACTTAGGCTATCCCTCGTAGTCCGAGGATGATGGTCCTCCAAGTGTCGTGTCCTGGTGGTGGGTCCGTAGGGGACTGTGGAGCCTAATTCTTGATCTGCATCTTCTCCCACAGTGAGGGCTTCGGTTTCCAGGTGGAAGGCGGTCCCGACGCGCCTTCCTCTTGACACGCTTCTCTCTTTCGCCCTCCATTTGTGCCTCTTCAAATTTTGCAGCACTGCTGGTCACAGCTGACCTCCAGCTGGAGCGCTCAAGGGTCAGAGCTTCCCAGTTCTCAGTGTCTATGCCAGAGTTGTTAAGGTTGACTTTGAGCCCATCTTTAAATCTCTTTTTCTGTCCACCAACATTCCGTTTCCCACTCTTGAGTTCGGAATAGAGCAACTGCTTTGGGAGATGTTGGTCGGGCATCCGGACAACGTGGCCGGTCCAGGGGAGGTGATTGCGACGGACCATTGCTTCAGTGCTGGTGGTCTTTGCTTCTTCCAGCACGCTGACATTTGTCCGCTTCTCTTCCCAAGAGATTTCCAGGATTTTTCAGATGCAATCATTCTAGGAGTTGAGTGTGACGTCTGCAGACAGTCCATGTCTCACAGGCACATAGCAGGGTTGGGAGGGCAATAGCTTTATAAACAAGCCCCTTGGTCTCCCTATGGATGCCCCGGTCCTGAAACACTCTCTGCTTCATTTGAAAAATGCTGCCCTCACAGAGCTCAGGCGGTGTTGTATTTCAGTCTCAATGTTGACGTCTGTAGACAGTCCACGTCTCGCAGACGGAGAGCAGAATTGAGAGCACAATGACATTATAAACAAGCCCCTTGGTCTCCCTACGGATGTCCGCAAACACTCTCTGCTTCGTTCGGAAAAAAGCTGCACTTGCAGAGCTCAGGCGGTGTTATATTTCAGTCTCAATGTTGACGTCTGTAGACAGTCCATGTCTCGCAGGCGTAGAGCAGAATTGAGAGGACAATAGCTTTATCAACAAGCCCCTTGGTCTCCCTACAGATGTCCCGGTCCTCAAACACTCTCTGCTTCATTCGAAAAATGCTGCCCTCACAGAGCTCAGGCGGTGTTGTAGTTCAGTCTCAATGTTGACGTCTGTAGACAGTCCACGTCTCGCAGGCGTAGAGCAGAATTGAGAGCACAATGACATTATAAACAAGCCCCTTGGTCTCCCTACGGATGTCCGCAAACACTCTCTGCTTCGTTCGGAAAAAAGCTGCACTTGCAGAGCTCAGGCGGTGTTGTATTTCAGTCTCAATGTTGACGTCTGTAGACAGTCCTCGTCTCGCAGGCGTAGAGCAGAATTGAGAGGACAATAGCTTTATCAACAAGCCCCTTGGTCTCCCTACGGATGTCCCGGTCCTCAAACACTCTCTGCTTCATTCGGAAAAAAGTTGCACTCGCAGAGCTCAGGCGGTGTTGAATTTCAGTGTCGATGTTGACTTTGGTGGAGAGGTGGCTGCCAAGGGAGCGGAAATGGTCCACAGTTTCTAATGTTACACCATTAAGTTGTATTTCTGGCATTGGAGAAGGACTGATTCCTCTATGATATATGTAAGTACGAGGCAGTAAAGAAGTGGATTGCGTCACTTCCCTCCGTCTCAAGGGGGGAAATGTTAGCGAGGATTCATAGTTCTAGACTCGATCTGCTTAGTAAACAGGACTTTGCTCCTGGTTTACTTCCTGGTTGAGGAGAAAGTCCAGAGACATGTTTAATGACTTTTTGTTATTATTAACGCTTGCATCTACCAATCCCTCTGGGTGCTCTCATGAGAGTTTGCTGTATTATTATTATTGTTGTTATTATTATTATCCTTAATTAGCTTGGGTACCCAGGGACGCCCAGTTATTTGAAAAAGGCGTTGTTTGTTTTGGGGTGAAAAGTAATATCATTTAGTTAATTAGTAACACTATTTATTAGGAAAAAGCCTAATTAGAAAATGCATAAGGTTATGGGTGAGCTACAATTCCCAGAATGGTGGGTCAGTCCTCCCCAAATCAGGTCTGTATGCACAGCTGGACATGTGGGGGGGGGGGGTGCCAAGTTTGGTCCAGATCCAACATTGGCTGCATTCAGCGCCCGTCATTTGTGGGGGTCGCAGTGGTCTCGTCCAGTGTTATCTGGATGCAGGTGAACTACAACTCCCAGAACCTAAGATCAACCCCATTTTGGGTCTGTTTGCCAAGTTTGGTCCAGATCCGTCATTGTTTGGGTTCTGGAAATAAAAGAACTACAACTCCCCAAAATCAAGGTCAATTCACCCCAAACCCTTCCGGTATATTCTTATAGTCGTGAGGGTTCTGTGAGCCATGTTTGGTCCATTTCTGTCATTGGTGGGATTCAGAGTGTTCTTTGATAATAGGTGAACTATAAATCCCCAGCATCTACAACTCCCAAATGTCAAGGCCTATTGTCTCCAGCAGTGTTGACATTTGGGCATATTGAGTATTTGTGCCAATCTATCATTGTTTGAGTCCACAGTGCTCTCTGGATGGAGGTGAACTACAACTCCCAAACTCTAGGTCAATGCCCACCAAACCCTTCCAGTGATTGTGGGAGTTCTGTGTGCCCCAAACCTCACCGGTATTCAGATTAGAGCATATTGGGTCTGCATGCTCCATCGTTGTTTGGGTTCACTGGATATAGGTGAACTACAACTCCCCTAAATCAAGGTCAAGTCCCATCAAACCCCTCCGGTATGTTCTGTTGGTCGCCAGGGTTCTATGTGCCAACTTTGATCCAGATTTGTCATTGGTGGAGTTCAGAATGCTCACTGGATGCATGGGGAACTACAACTCCCACGCGGGATTGACTCAAAGCTGCCTTGAGAAAGGCGGGGTAGAAATTTCGTAACTAAACAAATAAATATTATAAATAGATAGATAGATTAACCCGAGAATCTACGGTATTATTGTCGTCGTGATGATGGTGATCCAGCCTCCAAATCACTCTGAATGGAGTAACTACATTTCTCTCTCTTCTTTAGGGGTGTACAACGGCAGCTATGGCCCGGAGTTTGCGCACTGCAACGTTACCCCCTGGAACCTTCTGGGCAGCGGCCTTTCCTACCAGGACTTTGGCTTCCCTATCTTCCTCCTGCAAGACCAGAAAGAAACTGAGGTCATCAAAGAGGTACGGAGCTGCATTGCTTTCTATTTAGGAAATTTAGGTACCGCTTATGTGGGGAGGCTAATTTAACTAATTTACGACGCCATAAAACTCTCCAGCAGCGTGCAAAAGAATGAGGAAGTACTCCATCCATGTTACAAGTGGACGGTGAAGCGACAGCTCCATGGAGGATAATTTAACTAATTTACGACACCATAAAACTCTCCAGCAGCGTGCAAAAGAATGAGGCAGTACTCCCATTGGTGTCACAAGTGGACGGTGACACGACAGCTCCGGGGAGGATAATTTAACTCATTTATGACACCATAAAACTCTCCAGCAGCGTGCAGAAATGAGGCAGTACTCCCATTGGTGTCACAAGTGGACGGTGAAGTGGCAGCTCTTGGAGGATAATTTACAATGCCATAAAACTCTCCAGCAGCGTCCAAAAGAATGAGGAAGTACTCCATTGGTGTCACAAGTGGACGGTGAAGCGACAGCTCCGGGGAGGATCATTTAACTAATTTACAACGCCATAAAACTCTCCAGCAGCGTGCAAAAGAATGAGGAAGTACTCCATCGGTGTCACAAGTGGACAGTGAAGCGACAGCTCTGTGGAGGATAATTTAACTAATTTACGACACCATAAAATTCTCCAGCAGCGTGCAAAAGAATGAGGAAGCACTCCATTGTTGTCACAAGTGGACGGTGAAGCGACAGCTCCGGGGAGGATAATTTAACTAATTTACAACGCCATAAAACACTCTAGCAGCGTGCAAAAGAATGAGGAAGTACTCCATCAGTGTCAGAAGTGGACGGTGAAGCAATCAATGGCTGGAATTCAAAAAGCATGAAGCTGGAAAGTGAAATAGCCTCTGTGTGCCTGTCTATATATGTTGTGTGTCTATGGCATTGAATGTTTGCCATGTATAGGTGCATTGTGATCTGCCCAGAGTCTAATGCGGAGTGAGAAGGGCGGAATATAAATACTGTCAATAAATAAATAAATGACCAGGGACAGAGCATTTCTCAAATATTGTTGCGTAGTGTGGTAAGACGTAAGCTGCTTGTTGATAGCGTATGTGGCACTTTCCACCCCGCACAATGACTTGACCAACTAAACCTATTGCAGGATCTCCTTGCTCCTAATATAGATTTGGATAGAGTTCTGTGTGTGTCTGTGTGTGTGTTTGTTCTGAGCTGTTCCTTCCTCTTTCTCGCAGTACTACAAGAAGCACAACCGGCCAGAGGGGGGCTCGCCCCCGGAGTACCCGCTCTGCGCCATGCAGCTCTCCTCCCACATGCACGCCGTCACCAGCACCGTCACCTGCATGCGCCGCAGCGCCATCCAGAGCACCTTCAGCCTCAACCCAGGTGAGGAGAAAGAGGGGGGGGGCCCAGAGGCCATCCAATCCACCCCCTCCTGCTATGAAGGAAGACACAATCTAAGCCCTCCTAACAGAGGGCCATCCAGCCTCGGATATGATAGATAGACATGCTTGAGATATTTATTTATTTATTTACGGCGCTTATATGACATCCTTCTTACCCCGAAGAGCAGCTTACGATATATATATATATATATATATATATATATATACACACACACACACACACACACACACACACACACACACGTACAATATATTATATTATTAGCATATTAGTATGATATATTATATTATTAGCATATTAGCACGATATCAGTATTATCTATATATATAAAAAGAGAAAGGGCGTCCAACAGGACAGCAAAACTCAAAAAAAAACCCCGACGAAAATTTACCCTGCACATACCTCAACCCACAAGGTATGCACAAATCGATGCAAAAATCTAAACAACATTAAAACACACTCACAATTAGACAAAACAACTGAGCATGCGCAATGGCGCCCCGCCACAAGTCCCCGGCGCGTGCACATGGCCAGCCGGCCAACGCACCCTCCGTGCTCCGCCCCTACCCTCCCATACGCCCTCTGTTCACGCCACGCCCCGCCCCTCCCCTGCTCCGCCTCTAAATCCATCCCTCCTCCCCCTCCTTCTTCTTCCCCCGCCACGCCCCCTCCAAACCCCGCCCCCTGTCCAAATCCATCCCTCCTCCCCCTCTTCCCCCCCCCCCGCCCCCCCAAGGAAGGAAGGAGAGAAGGAGGGAGAGAAGAAGGGAAAGAAGGAGGGAAAGAAGGAAAGAAAGAAAGGTAAAGAAGGAAGGATAGAAAGTGTGAGAGAAGAAGGAGAGAAGGAAGGAAAAAAAGAAGGGTAAAGAAGGAAGGAAGAAGGAGGGAGAGAGGAAGGGAAAGAAGGAGGGAAGGAGAGAAAGAAGGAAAGAAAGAAAGGTAAAGAAGGAAGGAAGGAGAGAAGGAAGGATAGAAAGTGTGAGAGAAGAAGGGAAAGAAGGAGAGAAGGAAGGAAAAAAGAAGGGTAGAGAAGGAAGGAAGGAGAGAAGGAGGAAGAGAAGGAGGGAAAGAAGGGTAGAGAAGGAAGGAAGGAGAGAAGGAGGGAAAGAAGGAGGGAAGGAGATAAAGAAGGAAAGAAAGAAGAGTAGAGAAGGAAGGAAGGAGAGGAGGGAGAGAATGAAATAAAAAAGTGAAAGAGGGGAGGAAGGAGAGAAGGAACGAAAGAGAGAAAGAGGGAGGGAAGGAAGGAAAGAGACAAGGAAGGGTGGAACCAAAGAGCAAAAGAGGTGAGAAAAGAAACATGTAGAGAAGGAAGAAAGAAGAAGGGAAAGAAAAAGAAAAAAAGAGGGAAGGAATGAAAGAGGGAGGGAAGGAAAGATAGGAAAAAAGGAGAGAAAGAGGGAGGGAAGGTTGGCCACAGCAACGTGTGGCGGGTACAGCTAGTATATTACTATATTGTACTATACCAGTATATTATATTATATTATATTATATTATATTATATTATATTATATTATTAGTAACATAAAATATGTAATTATAATATATTATTATTAGAAGTAGTGTTATTATATTGTATTACATTCTAATATTATAAATATTATATATATTTACAATATGTTGTATTAAATTAGTAGCTTAGCACAGCATCAGTATATTATATTACTATATTGTATTATACCATTATACTGTAATATTAGTAATATTACATGTAATATAAAATATATAATTGCAATATTGATGCATTTGTTGACCGCCGCTCTCAGCCCTAGGGCGACAATATCATATAATAATTATTACTATTATATTGTATTACATTACAATATTGTGTATTGTGTGGCCAAAGTAGTAATAATAATAATAATAATAATAATAATAATAATAATGGCCTCCCTAGCACAATTAAATAATAATAGCAGCATCCTCAACACAGTCTAATAGTAGTAGTAGTAGTAGTAGTAGTAGTAGTAATAGCATACCTAGCACAAATAAATAATAGCATTCTCAACAGTCTAATAATAATAATAATAATAGCATCCCTAGCACAAATAATAATAATAACAGCATCCCCAGCAAATTCTAATAATAATGATAATGATAATAATAATAATAGCATCTCTAGCACAATTAAACAATAGTAATAACTAGCAGCATCCCCAGCACAGTCTAATAATAACAATAATAAAATAATAATAGCATCCCTAGCACAATTCAATAATAATAACAGCATCCCCAGCGCAGTCTAATAATAATAATAATAATAATAATAATAATATCCCTAGCACAATTTAATAATAATAATAACAGCATCCCCAGCAGTCTAATAATAATAATAATAATGATAATAATGATAATAATAATAATAGCATCTCTAGCACAATTTAATAATAGTAATAATTAGCAGCATCCCCAGCACAGTGGAATAATAATAATAATAATAATAATAACAATAATAATAATAATAATAATAACAACAACAACATCCCTAGCACAATTAAATAATAATAATAATAATAATAATAGCAGCGTTCCCAGCAGTCTAATAATAATAATATAATAATAATAATAATAACAGCATCCCCAGCACAGTCATAATAATAATAATAATAATAATAACAATAGTATCCCTAGCACAATTTAATAATAATAATAGCATCCCTAGCACAATTAAGTAATGATAATAATAGCAGCATCCCCACGCAATCTAATAATAATAATAATAATAATAATAATAATAATAATAATAATAATAGCAGCGTTCCCAGCAGTCTAATAATAATAATATAATAATAATAATAATAACAGCATCCCCAGCACAGTCATAATAATAATAATAATAATAATAACAATAGTATCCCTAGCACAATTTAATAATAATAATAGCATCCCTAGCACAATTAAGTAATGATAATAATAGCAGCATCCCCACGCAATCTAATAATAATAATAATAATAATAATAATAATAATAATAGCATCCCCATCACAGTCTAATAATAATAATAGCATCCCTAGCACAATTAAATAATAATAATAATAATAATAATAGCTATTATTATTATCATTACTTAATTGTGCTAGGGATGCTATTATTATTATCCTTTCCATGCCGAGAGCACTGTGAACCCAACCAGTGGTGGATCTGGACCACACTAGCCAGGGATGATGGGATTTGGAGTACCTTCACTCGCTTCCTGAGACCTTCAAATGACCCGGGCATTGCTGAGTACCCAGGCCAGTAACAACAACAACAACAATAATAATAATAATAATAATAATAATAATAATAATAATAATAATAGTAGGGACCCCCAAGGGCCATCCAGTCCAACCCCCTCCAGTTCACCCGCCTGCTGTTGTCTCACAGAGGTCGTCTGTGACCCGCTGACCGATTTCAACGTCTGGAGCTCCGTGAAGCCCATCAACGGGTCGGAGAAGCCGCCGCCCGACAGCGTCGTCATGGCCGCCGCGCGGGTGAGGCCCTATTTTGGGAAACGAAATCCGTCCTTGTGCCTAGGACCCCTGGGCACGTGCAGAGCGAAGTCTGTGTCATGGTTTTTTGGGAGCTTCTCATCCCTTTTCCCTTCCCGTCTTCTTTTCTGCCGACAGATCGACAGCCACTCCTTCTTCTGGAACGTGGCCCCGGGGGCGGAGAGCGCGGTGGGCTCCTTCGTGGCCCTTCTGGCCGCGGCCGAAGCCATCCACAAGGCCCCCGAAGCCCAGGCCCTGCCCAGGAACATCCTCTTCGCCTTCTTCCAAGGGGTAAGGCAGGGATTATCCTCACAGTAATAATAATAGTAATAATAGTAATAATAATAGATGATCAATATTAATAATATCGTGTTTTGTTATCATGTGTTTAATAGTAGTAATCGATTATTAATATTAGTAATCTTATTGTTGTATTGTTATTATGTGTTTAAAAAAAGTAATGAAAGATTATTAATATTCATAATGTTATGATTGTTGTATTAATTGTTATTATGTTTAAAAATAGTAATAATATTAATAATCTTATTGTTTTTGTATTAATTGTTATTATGTGTTTAATAATAGTAATAATAGATTATTAATATTCATAATCTTATTGTGGTTGTATTAATTGTTATTATTATCTGAATAATAACTGTAATAATGGATTATTAATATTCATTTTATTATTGTATTAATTGTTATTATTGTGTGTTTAATAATAGTAATAATAGATTATTAATATTCACAATCCTATTGTGGTTGTATTATTATTAATATATGTTTAATAATAGTAATAATAATAGTTAATTATTAATTATAATAGTAATAATAGATTATTAATATTCATAATTATTGTGGTTGTATTAATTGTTATTATTGTGTGTTTAATAATAGTAATAATAAATTATTAATATTCATAATGTTATGATTGTTGTATTAATTGTTATTATGTGTTTAATAGTAATAATAGATTATTAGTATTAGTAATGTTATTGTATTAATTTTTATTAATATATGTTTAATGTTTAATAATAGTAATAAGTTAGTAATATTAATACTGTTATTATTGTTGTAGTAATAACAGATTATTAATATTAGTAATGTTATTGTTCTTATTATATGTTTAATAATAGTAATAATAGAGTATTAATATTAGTAATGTTACTATTGTATTAATTGTTATTAATATATGTTTAATAATAGTAATAATAGATCATTAATAATCATAATGTTACTGTTGCATTACTTATGTGTTTAGTAATAGCAATAATAGATTATGAATATTAGCAAATGTTATTGTATTAATTGTTATTATTATGTATTTAATAATAGTAATAATAGAGTGTTACTATTAATAATGTTATTATTGTTGTATTATTTGTTATTATCTGTTTAGTAATAGTAATAATAAGTTAGTAATATTAATAATGTTGTTGTTGTTGTTGTTGTAATACTTATGGATTATAGTGTCCACATCAGGGGACAAGCCGAGCGTGTGCAGAGAGGGATGAACCCAGAGTAAGGGACGAGGGGTTGTCAGTATTGACATTCTGATCCTGGTTGGAGAGGCGAGTGGAGCGCCCGCACTGGGAGAAGCATCATCTGGCCAAGATGGCCGCCCAGCGCTGGCAGGAGCGCATTTGCCCTGGGGGGGGGGAGCGCGGCAGCGGTGGCAGCTGGCCCAGGCTTCTCCCCCCAAACAAACCCCTGGGGGCCTCCTTCTCGTCTGCTTTCGGGGGAACAGGCACGGAGCAGGAAGGCTTGGCAGCGGTTGCTTTTTTTGCAGGCGGCAGGCAGCTGCTGCTCCGGGCCTGATCTGCCGCCTTTGCACTGCCGGAAAACCCAGCTAACAAACTGGGCTCCACAGGCCCATGCAGACTCTATGGCCGGCATCATCATAATAATAATAATAATAATAGAAGCACAACAAGATGAGTCCTCAGCAAACCAGATCATTTTGCTGGCTGTTGTACTGGATCCCACATTGGACCCTTCCCAAGTGTCAAGGACTGTGTGATGTATTGGCGAAAAATGCATGCAGATCCCAGTAAGGTGGCCTTCTGTAGCTGACTGGTGGTAATTTTGTCAGTGCTGATTGTGTTTAAGTGCAGGCCAAGGTCTTGAGGCACTGCACCCGGTGCGCCAACCACCACTGGGACCACTTTGACTGGCTTGTGCCAGAGTTGTTGTCATCATCACCATTATTATTATTATTATTATTATTATTATTATTATTATTATTATTTACCCATGCATTGGGTTGGAAAGGGTTTGACCTGCAAAAGGGATTTTCCCTTCCTTCCATCTTTCTATCCTTCTTTCCTTCCCTTCTTTATTTCATTCCCTTCCTTATTTATTTATCTATTTCCTTCCCTTTCCTTCTTTCTTTCCTTTCCTTCCCTTCTTTCCTTGTTTCCTTCCTTTCTTCCCTTCCTTCCTTCCCTCCTTCCTTCTTTTTTTCCTTCGTTTCTTCCACTTCCTTCCTTTCTTTTTTCCTTGCCTTCCCTTCCTTCCTACCATCTTTCCTTCTTTCTTTCTTCCCTTCCACCTTACTTTCTTTCTTTATTTCTTTCTTCCCTTCCACCTTCCTTCCTTCCTTCCTTCCTTTCTTTCTTTCTTTCTTTCTTTCTTTCTTTCTTTCTTTCTTCCCTTCTACACTTACTCCCCTCCCTCCCTCCCTTCTTTCTTTTTTCTTTCTTTCTTTTTTCTTCCTTCCTTCCTTCTTTCCTTTCCTTTCCTTTATTCCTTCATTCCTTCCTTTTTCTTTCCTTGTTTCCTTCCTTTCTTCCCTTCCTTCCTTCTTTTTTTCCTTCGTTCCTTCCACTTCCTTCCTTTCTTTTTTCCTTGCCTTCCCTTCCTTCCTACCTTCTTTCCTTCTTTCTTTCTTCCCTTCCACCTTTCTTTCTTTCTTTCTTTCTTTCTTTCTTTCTTTCTTTCTTTCTTTCTTTCTTTCTTCCCTTCTTCCCTTCCTCCCTTCCCTCCCTTCCCTTCCTTCCTTCTTTCTTTCTTTCTTCCTTTCTTTCCTTCCTTCTTTCCTTTCCTTTATTCCTTCATTCAGTCCCCTTCCTTCCTTCTTTTTTCCCCTTCCCTTCCACGCTTCTTTCCTTCCTTCCTTCCTTCCTTCCTTCCTTCCTTCCTTCCTTCCTTCCTTCCTCACTTCCCTTTCTTTCTTTCTTTCTTTCTTTCTTTCTTTCTTTCTTTCTTTCTTTCTTCCCTTCTACACTTCCTCCCTTCCCTCCCTCCCTTCTTTCTTTCTTTCTTTCTTTCTTTCTTTCTTTCTTTCTTTCTTTCTTTCTTTCCTTCCTTCTTTCCTTTCCTTTCCTTTCCTTCCTTTTTTCCTTCGTTCCTTCCCCTTCCTTTCTTCTTTCTTTCCTTCCTTCCTCCCTTCCCTTTCTCTCTCTCTCTCTCTCTCTTTCTTTCCTTCTTTCCTTTCCTTCCCTCCCTCCCTTCTCTCCCATCCATCCTTTCTGTGGCTTCCACTTGGTTGGAGAGACTGGCTTTCTTATTTCCCCTCTGTTTTTTTCCCTCCCTTCCTTCCTTCCTTCCTTCCTTCCTTCCTTCCTTCCTTCCTTCCTTCCTTCCTTGGGATCCTTTTGGGGGAGAGAATCGAGGATGAGCCCTGGTCTGGTCCTTTAGCAGGGGGGGTCGTGGAGGCCTTGCCTTGCCTTGCCTTGCCTGGGGGGTGGGCTCAGCTGCCGCCCGCCCGCCCGTCCCCTTGTGCCTGGGCGCATCTGCCGGGGAGGCCCCTTCCCCTCTCTCGCTCCACAGCCTCCCTCATCGATTTTCCATCCTCTCCATCCAGAGGCCGTTTGCCTTGACGTTGCCCATCTGGGGCCAGTGATGGGGGGGGCTCTTTGGGGGGGAAACGCACCCACAAGTTACCTGTTGAACCATTGCAGACATGCTGGAAATGATGATGATGATGGTGGTGGTGGTGGTGGTGGTGGTAGAAAAAGCAGGGTTGAAATCCCAGTGATGAAGATGTTGTCCCGTGATGTCTTAGGTTTCGATTCACACCTTGTTATGGTTTTTCTTGTTTGTCGCTCCGAGTCTCACCAACATGAAAGCATTGCAATGACCTTTTCCCGAGCTGGCTTCTCGTCTGCCGGCCAGGCGAGAACTCCGCCTGACCCGCAAATCAAGATGAGCCTGCCGGGTCAGGTCACTATCAAGGCTTTCTGCACTTTCACTATCAGCGTGGGAAGGAGGCAAAGGCCCCTCCACCTGTTCACTATCTCCTTCGCTAAAATTCCTTTCCCTCTGTGTTGACTCTGCACTGTCTGTGGGAGCCTCAGAAAAAGACCTAGAAGCAGGCCCTGAGATCTGAGGCACAGAAAAAGAGCCAGGAATCTGAATCCCATCATCCCCATCATCAGAGAACATCTCAGCCACAACAAGGCATTAGGAAGGTTGTGAAACACTGAGCTAAAGCTTCGGGGAGCTTCTGTTCAACCATCACAAAGCTCCCTGCTTGGGTGGTGATGGCATGATCGTCAACATATGTTAAACTCTCCGTCCCTTCCGGCAGTGGCTGGTCATTTGTGCAAATGTTAAACATGAGGAACTGTATTAAGAGGCACTAGGAAGGTTGGGACACACTGACTTCAGCCATTACAAAACTCCCTGCTTGGGTGGTGATGGCATGATCATCAGCGTATATTGAACTCTCTGTCCCTTCTGACAGTGACTGGTCATTTGTGTCAATGTTAAGCATGGACGGAGCAAGCACACCCCCCTGAGGCATGCCGTTCTTCTATCTTCGCCATCTGCTTCTCTGGCCCTGGAACTCAACAGAAAAGCTCCTGTTTTGTAGCAGATTTCCTATGAAGTCCTTTTGATATTCTACGTTTTTCTCTGCATTTTATATGGATTAGAAATCAGTCGATTTCCCCTGTTATAGACAGTAAGAGCACTTAAAGCTTTGGAGAGCTTCTGTTCAGCCATTTCAAAGTTCTCTGCTTGGGTGGTGATGGCATGGTCGTCAGCGTATATTAACATTTCTGTCCCTTCTGGCAGTGGCTGGTCATTGGTGTCAATGTTAAACACGAGGAACTGTATTAAGAGGCATTAGGAAGGTTGGGACACACTGACTTAAAGCTTTGGAGATCTTCTCTTCAGCCATTACAAAGCTCTCTGCTTTAGCGTTGATGGCATGATCGTCAGCGTATATTAAACTCTGGCAGTGGCTGGTGATTTGTGTCAATGTTGAACATGAGGAACTGTATTAAGAGGCATTAGGAAGGTTGGGAAAACTGAGCTAAAGCTTCAGAGAGCTTCTGTTCAAGCATCACAAAGCTCCCTTCTTGAGTGGTGATGGCATGATCGTTGGCGTATATTAAACTCTCCGTCCCTTCTGGCCGTGGCTGGTCATTTGTGTCAATGTTGAACATGAGGAACTGTATTAAGAGGCATTAGGAAGGTTGGGAAACACTGACTTAAAGCTTTGGAGAGCTTCTCTTCAGCCATTTCAAAGCTCCCTGCTTGGGCGGTGATGGCATGATCGTCAGCATATATTAAACTCTCTGTCCCTTCTGGCAGTGGCTGGTCGTTTGTGTCAGTGTTGAACATGAACTGTATTAAGGGGCATTAGGAAGGTTGGGAAGCATTGACTTAAAGCTTTGGAGAGCTTCTCTTCAGCCATTACAAAGCTCCCTTCTTGAGTGGTGATGGCATGATCGTCAGCGTATATTAAACTCCCTGTCCCTTCTGGCAGTGGCTGGTCATTTGTGTCAATGTTAAACACGAGGAACTGTATTAAGAGGCATGTTGCAACTCAGAGTAAGCTTCGCCTTCCTTCCAAACACCACCACACAAGAGCTGTAGTTTTATAGTTTTTTGAGGAAAAAGTCCAAGTCAAAATAAAGACTAAGCATTGCAAAATTCCTAAGATTTAGGTTAAATGCAGAATATAGTTCCAAAGATCTTCAGGTAAAAACAAGAGGCACAATCCTATTGGCAAAGTTCAAAACAGAGTCCATGGAACAAGCAATGAAACAATTGCCCCAAGAACCACAATGCAAGAAATCCCAAGCGTGCTGCTTTCCAGGCTAAGGTTATTCCATGAAGCTCTCAGGCTAATAAGCGACGTTGAACTGACGCTTCCTCTTCGTTTGCAAGAAGCCTAAATACTTTTCTAACATGAAAACGTTATGCTCTCACCAACATGAAAGCATTGCGATGACCTTTCCCCGAGCTGGTTTCTCATCTGCTGGCCAGGCGAGAACTCCGCCTTGTTATGGTTTTTCTTGTTTGTCGCTTTGAGTCTCCTTTGGCAGAGGACAAAAGGGACAACAACAACAACAACAACAACAGTATTTTGGGGGGAAATCTCCCCTGGAAGGGATGGAGAGAAAACGTAAACAGAGCCATCGGAAGAAATGCACCAAAGCCTAGGGATGTCTTGCATTGGCTGCAATGCAAAAGGGGCCAATTCTGGGCCAAGCGCACGCACTTCCTTCTTCCTTCCTGAGCATTTCCTTTTTTTCTCTCCATTTCCTGCTTCAGGAGACCTTTGACTACATCGGCAGCTCCCGGATGGTCTACGACATGCAGAACGGGAAGTTCCCCATCAATCTGGACAACATCCACTCCTTCCTGGAGATCAGCCAGGTAATTATTATTATTATTATTATTATTATTATTATTATTATTAATATAATTCTCCCCGGAGAGAGAAAGGAACACTGGGATGTCTGTGGTGGACGACACTTGTCAAATCTAGGAGGAAATTATCCCCGTATTAAAGCCTGTGGGCCATAGAAAAGAATAGGAAAGGGTTGAGGGAGAGGCAGTGGATGGGGGTCATGCAAATTCCACACCAAGGGAGAAAGGATCACTGGGATGTCTGTGGTGGAGGAAACACGTAAAATCTAGGACGAAATTATCCCCGTATTAAAGCCTGTGTGCCATAGAAAAGAATAGGAAAGGGTTGAGGGAGAGGCAGTGGATGGGGGGGTCATGCAAATTCCACACCGGTGGAGAGAGAAAGGAACACTGGGATGTCTGTGTACTTCCAAAAGTACAACTGTGTCTCTTCTCAAGCCAAGCCAAGACTGCTACCAAACAATAGCTGCTGTCAAAATATTTAATAGATAGCCAGCCCGGGTCGGAGTAAGCTCCCAACCATTTGTCCGGCTTGCTGTCGACCTTTGCAGCCCGAAAGACAGATGCATCTGTCAAGTAGGAAATGTAGGTACCGCTTTATGCGGGGAGGCTAATTAAACTAATTTACGACGCCATAAAAATTTCCAGTAGCGTGCAAAAGAATGAGGAAGTACTCCATCAGTGTCACAAGTGGGCGGTGAAGCGACAGCTCCCCCGGTGGCCGGAATTTGTAACATACCCTCATGAAGCTGGAATGTTAAATAGCCTCTGTGTGTCTGTCTATATATGTTGTGTGTCTCAATGACACTGAATGTTTGCCGTGTCTGTGTGCATATCAATACTGTAAATAAATAATAGATAGATCGATAGATTGATAGATAGACCACCTTTCTCACAGGCTCTCTTTTCTCCTTGCAGGTAGCGCTCCGGAATGGTTCTGACCTCTGGATGCACACGGACCCCGTCTCACAGAGGAACCACTCCCTCCAGGTACAGCCCAGGTGCCTGCCTCCACAGAAGGATAATAATAATAATAATAATAATAATAATAATAATAATAACAACAACATCCCCATCACAGTCTAATAATAATAATAATAATAGTATCACTAGCACAATTAAATAATAATAATAATAGCATCCCCAACACAGTCTAATAATATTAATAATAATAGAAATAATAATAGCATCCCTAACACAATTAAATAATAATCATAATAGAATCCCCATAAGTCTAAGAATAATAATAATAATAGCATCCCTAGCACAATTAAATAATAATAATAATAATAATAATAATAATAGCAGCATCCCCATCAGAGTCTAATAGTAATAATAATAGCATCCCTAGCACAATTAAATAATAATAATAATAATAATAATAGCAGCATCCCCACACAGTCTAATAATAATAATGGTTAGTAATCCTGGTTAATAATCCTGGTCAGTCGCAAGGCCGAACAGGGCATAGGGTGACAGCCTGTGTTAGACAGGGTCGCACTCCCCCTGAAGACGCAGGTTCGCAGCTTGGGTGTGACCCTGGACTCATCGCTGAGCCTGGAACCCCAGGTTTCGGCGGTGACCAGGGGAGCATTCGCACAGTTAAAACTTGTGCGCCAACTGCGACCGTACCTTGGGAAGTCTGACTTAGCCACGGTAGTCCACGCTCTGGTTACATCCCGCCTTGACTACTGCAACGCTCTCTACGTGGGGTTGCCTTTGAAGACAGCCCGGAAGCTCCAACTAGTCCAACGGGCGGCAGCCATGATACTAACAGGAGCGGGGCGCAGGGAGCACACAACTCCTCTGCTGCACCAGCTCCATTGGCTGCCGATCTGCTACCGGCCTCAATTCAAGGTGTTGGCGCTGGCCTTTAAAGCCCTAAACGGTTCTGGCCCAACCTACCTATCCGAACGTATCTCGGCCTATCAGCCCACCAGGACCCTAAGATCTTCGGGGGAGGCCCTGCTCTCTATCCCGCCTGCTTCACAGGTGCAGCTGGCGGGAACGAGAGACAGGGCCTTTTCTGTGGTGGCCCCTCGGCTTTGGAACACCCTCCCTATAGAGGTACGATCAGCCTCCTCGCTGATGGTGTTTCGGAAGAGATTGAAAACATGGATGTTTAAACAAGCATTCGGTTAATCCGTGCAACGAATTTTGATGACTAAAGGACTGGTAATCATGGACGATGAATTTTGGATTGTGATTTTAGTTACGAGATGCATGGGATTATTATTGGTGGCCCAATAATTTGTATTGTATATGTGTTTTATGTTTTAAATTGAATACTGTTTTTTAATTGTTGTAAACCGCAATGAGTCGCCGACTTAGGCTGATATATTAGCGGTATACAAGCGTATAAATAAATAAATAAATAAATAAATAAATAAATGAATGAATAATGGCGTGACCCCTTAATCCAGTCTAATAATAATAATAGCATCCCTAGCACAATTAAATAATAATAATAATAATAATAATAATAATAATAATAATAATAGCAGCATCCCCATCACAGTCTAATAATAATAATAGCATCCCTAGCACAATTAAATAATAATAATAGCAGCATCCCCAGCACAGTGTAATAATAATAATAATAATAACAACAACACTAACAACTCAAATGTATACCACTCTTCCAATCCTTTCCATCCCCATAGAATAACAACAACAACCAAAACAACAATATCAAGCATATGACCAACTGTGCCATTTTTAAAAAATGTAGAATAATAATAATAATAATAATAATAATAATAATAATAATAATAATGTCAAAGTAGACTGTCCCATCCTTTCTGTTCTCTGGAATAATAATAATAATAATAATAATAATAATAATAATAATAATAATAATAATAATAATGCCAAGCTCATGGCAAAGTCTGTTAGGGCACGTAAACATCAGTTGGTGAGTGTGTTGAATGAAAATGCAAAGCAGAAAGCTGATTTGCTGTTCTGTGCCCAAGAGACTAGCTGAGCCTGGGCGTGTTGGCCACAGTTACATCTTTTTCATTCTGTGAGAGACTCTCCCACCCGTAGCCAGCCATCTCAATATAGTAAATAGAATAATAGTAATGTTGTTGTTTCCGTAGTCGGCCGTCCAGGCGATGGTGGGGACGCTGAAGAACGCGAGCGGGAGCACCAGCCTCTCCCTGCGCGAGATCGGCCTGACACAGCCGCTGCCGCCTTCCTCCTTCCAGCGCTTCCTGAGGGGCCGGCCCATCCCCGGGGTTGTCCTGGCCGACCACCAGACCACCTTCCACAACCGGTGAGAAATGCCCCCCCACCCCCAGAGGACATCTAGACTGACCCCCTAGAGAATGGGAGGGTCCCAGAGTGGGAAGGCCATCCCTACTAACCCTTTCAATGCAGGGAAGACACCATCCGATCCCTCCCGACAGATGGCCATCCATCCGTTATTATTATTATAGATTGACTGTATTCTATGATATACCTATCATAGATTCCTAGAGTGGGAAGGGACCCCAAAAGGACGTCCAGACCAACCCTAGCACAATTTAGTAGTAGTAGTAGTAGTAATAATAATAATAATAATAATAATAATAATATAATCCCCAGCACAGAATAATAATAATAATAATAATAGCATCCCTAGCACAATTAAATAATAATAATAATAATAATAATAATAATAATAATAATAATAATAATAATAATAATTCATAAAAATAGTAATAATAATAATAATAATAATAATAATAATAATAATTCAGAATATAATAATAATAATAATAATAATAATAATAATAATAATAATAATAGCATCCCTAGCACAATTTAATAATAATAATAATAATAGCAGGGAAGACACTATCCGATCCCTCCCGACAGATGGCCATCCATCCATTATTATTATAGATTGACTATATTCTATGATATTCCTATCATAGATTCCTAGAGTGGGAAGGGACCCCAAAAGGACGTCCAGACCAACCCTAGCACAATTTAGTAGTAGTAGTAGTAGTAGTAATAATAATAATAATAATAATAATAATAATAATAATATAATCCCCAGCACAGAATAATAATAATAATAATAATAATAATAATAATAATAATAGCATCCCTAGCACAATTAAATAATAATAGCAGCATCCCCACACAGTCTAATAATAATAATAGCATCCCTAGCACAATTAAATAATAATAATAATAATAATAATAATAATAGCAGCATCCCCATCACAGTCTAATAATAATGATAATAATAATAATAATATAATCCCTAGCACAGAATAATAATAATAATAATAATAATAATAATAGCATCCCTAGCACAATTTAATAATAATAATAATAATAGCAGGGAAGACACTATCCGATCCCTCCCGACAGATGGCCATCCATCCATTATTATTATAGATTGACTATATTCTATGATATTCCTATCATAGATCCCTAGAGTGGGAAGGGACCCCAAAAGGACGTCCAGACCAACCCTCTCAATGCAGGGAGGACACCATCCGATCCCTCCCGACAGATGGCCATCCATCCATTATTATCGTAGATTGACTATATTCTATGATATACCTATCATAGATTCCTAGCGTGGGAAGGGATCCCCAGAGGACATTCAGGCCAAACCCCTTCATTCTGTCATTGAGAAAGGCACCATTCGATCCCTCCCGACAGATGGTCATCCATCTATAGACAACAGAGGCAGATCGACTATATTCTATGATATATTCTATGATATATATGTATCATAGGATCCTAGAGTGGGACGGGATCCCAAGAGGACATCTAGATTGACCACCTTCAGGCACCAGAACCCTCCCGACAGATGGCCATCTAGCCTCATAGACCTTCAGTGGTTCACGGAAAAATAGGGCTATAGAACAAGAGTGGGAAGGGACCCCCCAAGGACATCCAGACCAACCCCCTTCATTCTGCCATTGAGGAAGGCACCATTCGATCCCTCCCTGCAGATGGCCTCCCCGCCTGATCGACTAGCAGCTGTGGCTCCTGGTCCTGTTTTTTCCGGCCGTTTGAATTCCTTTCCTTTTCTCTCAGGTACTTCCAGAGCATCTACGACACGGCCGAGAACATCCGCCTGCAGTATCCCGAGGGCCTGACGCCCGAGGAGGAACTCAACCACGTGACCGACCTCGCCAAGGTATGGGGAGGGGGCCCCAGAGGACATCCAGACCAACCCCCTTCTTTCTGCCGTAAAGACACAGTCTGATCCCTCCTGGCAGAGGGCCACCCAGCTGCCGGATCACAGGATCCTAGAGTTGGAAGGGACACCCCGACAGATGACCATCTAGCCTCCACTTAATAGTAATAATAATAATAATAACAAATAGAAATAGAAATGATTGTTATTGAATATATTATTAAATTTATTATTATTACTATTAAGCGGAGGCTAGATGGTAATATTATTATTAATAATAATAATAATAAATAGAAATGATTGTTATGGAATCTATTATTAAATTTATTATTACTACTATTAAGCGGAGGCAAAATGGTAATATTATTAATAATAATAATAAATAGAAATGATTGTTATGGAATATATTATTAAATTTATTACTATTAAGTGGAGGCTAGATGGCAATATTAATAATAAAAAATATACATTATTGTTATGGAATATATTAGTAAATTTATTATTATTACTATTAATAATAATTATAATTATAAATAGAAATAGAAATTATTGTTATGGAATATATTAGTAAATGTATTATTATTATTAAATGTATTAATATTAAATGTATTGTTATTGTATGTATGTATTATGAAATGTATTATTATTCTTGTATTAATTATTATATTTATATTATTGTTATGATGATTCCGATGGGCAGTCTCTGGCGGAAGTGTCTACGGTGGTGGCCCGGGCCCTCTTCCTTCTGGCCGGCGGGAGCAACGACAGCGCCCTGGCGGTCGAGGCCGATCCCGAGACGGTGAGTGACCGCAGTCATGTCCCCATGCGTGCGTTGTGTTGAGGTCACATGTTGTGTTGGCTTCACTTCCTCGTTGCTGCGTTCCTCAGGTCACGCGCCTGCTGTACGGCTTCCTGGTGAAGGCCAACAACTCCTGGTTCCAGGCCATCGTGAAGCCCGAGGTCCAGCCCTATCTGGGTGAGTGTGGGGGGCGATCGACGAGGGCCCTCCTCCTGCCTGGCTGACCCTTTGGCCTGTGGGGACCAAAATCCACTGATTGTACAATCAGTGGATTTTGGTCTCCACAGTTTTAGGGGAACCCATTTTTCTTTAAGGTATTACCCTTTGGCCTGCCCACTGACCCTTTTGCACCTCCTCCCTCCCGTTGTAGGTGATGACCCCCTGCAGTACTACATTGCGGTCTCCAGCCCGGTCAACACCACCCTCGTGGTCCAAGCCGTCCTGGTCAACTTGACCGGCACACGCATGAACGAGAGCGTCACCAAGGAACAGTGCCAGAACCTGGGCAGGGGGCCCCAGGCCGATGTCAGTATCCCACTACTATTACTACGACTATTGTTGTTATTTATTTATGACATTGATATGCCGCCCTCGTCAGAGCAACTTCCAAGATATTATTGTAATATTATTAGAAATATTACATGTAATATAAATATATATAATTATAATATTGTATTATTATTAGTATTATATTATGTTATAATATTATAAATATATGTATAATACAATATATTATATTATTAGTAATATTACATGTTATATAAATATATGTAATTATAATATTGTATTATTATTAGTATTATATTGTATTTATGTTATAAATATTATAAGTATAATGCAATATATTATATTATTAGGAATATTACATGTAATATAAATATATATAATTATAATATTGTATTTTTATTATTAGTATTGTATTACATTATAATATTATAGATATATGTATAATACAATATATTATATTATTAGTAATATTACATGTATTATAAGGTATATAATTATAATATTGTATTATTAGTAGTAGTATTGTAATATTAGTAATATATTGTAATATTATTAGTAATATTACATGTATTATAAAATATATAATTATAATATTGTATTATTAGTAGTAGTATTATATTGTAATATTAGTAATATTGTACTATATCATTATACTGTAATATTGTTAGTAATATTACATGTAATATAAAATATATAATTATAATATTGTATTATTATGAGTATTATATTGTATTACATTATAATATTATATGTATATACAATATATTATATTATTAGTAAAGCACAAGAGACAAGATATTTAATTATAATATTGTATTATTAGTAGTATTATCTTGTATTACATAATACAATATTATAATTATATATATTTATATCACGTGTAATATTACTAATAATATAATATATTGTATTATACATATAATATTTATAATATTATATATTATTAGTAATATTACACATAATATAAATATATATATAATTATAATATTGTATTATTGTTAGTAGTATTATATTGCATTACATTACATTATTATAAATGTTATATGTATAATACAATATATTATTAGCATAGCACAATGTCAGTATTATAGATTATTACTATATTGCACTATACCATTATATTGTAATATTATTAGTAATATTACATGTAATATAAATGTATAATATTGTATTATTCTT